CCAGCTGCCACTTGCCTGGATCCCTCTGCAGCCACTCCGGAAGGGAGGGAGGGGGCGGCCGTGGAGCCGCTGCCGGACAACACAAGGGCCTTGTGGCCGGCCATTGCAATTCCGGCAGGGTAGCGGCGGCACTTTTGTCCTCCCTTTGTTGGGAACTTCCATGTGTCCCCTCTGCTCCCTTCTGAATTTCATTTTGCTCCCTTTTAACCGGGTGTTTTTGGGGTTCGCTGCCCGGGGCTTGCCGGGTGGAGAGCTGCTGGGACCTGCTTGCCGGGAGCCTCTGTGTGCCTGCTCAGCTGAGGGCCACCACTCTGAGTCACGGGTTAAATGGCACAAACTTGTCTCAGTCCTAATTTAGGCTTTCGCACAACTTAGCAGGAGAGGCCGTGTCCTGAGCAGCGTGGGCCGGGTGCCTCCTGTGCCACCGCGCTGGGTGGCCACTCTCTGCCCAACTTGTTGCTCCATTGTTTTCCAGTTCTTCCTACCCCAGTGAGCGCCGCTCACCTGAATCTCTGGGGAAACCTTGTGCTTTTCAGGCTCCTCTTTGTTTGTAAGCTAGATAGTGGCAGCCTGCGGGGTTATTTATGGAAATGCTTGATAGGAGAATTGGCTTTGCAGTCTCAAGGTAAAACATTTGCGTGACTCTGTAAAGATGCAGCCGGCTGCTGTCTTGAGCGGCTTCATTTCATTCTGGGGAAAGGGCAGTCCTGGAGCTGCTCGTTTGCCATACGGCCTTTTTGTTGACGAGTTGTTGTCGGGTTCATCTTTGGTGGTGGAGGGAGAAGCGCGGCTCCCCGGCGAGGTGCGTTGCGCGGGCAAACCCGAGTGTCTGCTCTCTGAGGAACGGTGCCGCGGAGCCAGGCACCAATGCACCTGCAACAGCAGAGGGGTCCCTGTCCCAGTGCCGCGTGGGGCGAACGGCGAGCGGCTCCTGCCTGAGCAACATCCCCTCGCTGCAGCCTTTGTGCTCTCCCATACAATTTGAGTACTTCTGAGTGCATTTACTTGAGAAGATTTATATCTAGCTCTGTAAAAAGGATCCGTTGCGTCAGCAGGTGACACTGAAACACAACTCCAGGGCTATGTGTTTTAACGGAGGAATAAGGTACCTTTTACCGGTGCTTTTGCTTTAGTTCGAAGGACTCCAGCGGCTCAGGGGCAGCGCAGCCTCAGTAACCGGAGCGCAGGGCTGAAGTTGCTCCCCTGCATGTGTCCCCAGGGCTGCGCCGCCAGCCGGGCCTCACTCCACCTGCAACAAAGGCTGCTTGTGCAGAAGAATTTGGGAAATGACTGCGGGCTCCGCTCCCTGCAGCCGGGTGTGCGCGTTATCTCAGCCCAGTTGATCACACTTGGGGTAATGAGAAAATGAGGCCGAGCTTAGCACTGCGGACTATGAAAGCATCTTTTTGGCAGGAGCTGAATGACACTGGCTGAGAACTAAGAGACAGTAGATTATTGTTTTTGCTTATTATCTGCCATCAGCCTCCTGGTCTCCTGCCGTCCCCTGTCCTCAGTGTCTGCTGTGGGTTTTGGCGCTGGCCCGGAGGCTGTGGGCGCAGCGTGTGCTCATGCAGGACAGGGGGGGACAGCACCGTGCCCCGCGGAGGCGCCCAGAGGCCATGCTCATCCGCCCGCGCTCACAGCTATTGCAGGGGTTGTTTTGGAGTTTATTGTGCTCTTCACTTTTGCCTCTGCTGACCGGTGTGCTGGGTTTATTTATGCAGTAGGCCGTGAGTCAGGACAGAGGTGGGGAAGGCGCGAGGCCGGGCTTGGGGTCGATGTGACAAGTGGAAAGAGGTGGCCAGGGAGGCAGAACAATGGCCGGGGCGACGTGGCTCCTGTGCAAGCAGCCGGGCCGGTGGCACGAGGCCGGGCTGCTCTCCGGCCACAGCCTTCGCAGGGATGAGCCAGACCTGCTGCTAGCGCAGGTCTCCTTAAGCTGATTTGTGAGTCTGGATCATCCCTGATGTGATGTAACTTTACAAGAGTTGCCGTAAAAATAGACTGGAGAGAAAGAAGCGACGGTGAGGAGGAGCCGAGGCCTCCGCGGGTGCTTGGCTTCCAGCAGCGTTAGCTTTTCCCAGCTTTTCCTGGCCGAGCCAGCAGCAGCACAATGGAGGCTGAGGCACGCGGAGGCCCCGCTCCATTGTGTGCGTGCGGCGCGGCGGGCAGGAGGGGCGAGCGCCGGCCCACGCCGGGCTCCTCTGCTCGCTTTGCGCCTTTCCGCCCGCTCTTTTATTCCTTTATCCCGCGTTTTGCGGAATGAGGCGTTCAGCTCTTTGCTCGCTGCCTTTTTTATGGCCTGTCGCCCATCGGGTGAGCCCTGCACCCGAAGGGGGAGAGCAAAAGGGCATAAGGAAGCGCTCTGAATGCGGTGCTGGGGATGCAGGGCACCCAGCGCCGGCCGAGGGGAGGGTGCAGCCGCGCCGGTTAATCCCAGCATGTGACGGGCTCACGGTGCCGCCTGGCCGCGGCTCTGCAGCATGCTGGGACTTGTAGTCTCGTGGTTGCACCTTGTGGGCAGATTTCTTGGGTGTCTGGCAGGTGCCTCGTGGGCAGAGAAAACCGCGCTCGTGGAGGAGAAATCCTGCGTCCGCGAGCAACCGCGAAAGCGCCCTCACCTCTTCTTCCCTTGCTCTCTTTCAGATTGATCCAAAGGTAGCGTTCCCCCGCCGAGCGCAGCCCAAGGTAGGTAGCAGTGCCACAGCCCTGGTGCTCCGCGGGGTGCAGGTTGTGCTGGTGAATCTTGTCCCTCTCCTGAGTTTGCTCAGGAGTCACTGAGTGGGAGCCGCTCTTGTTTCAGTGCGCGGCGCCGCGGTACGCCCGCTGTCCCGCTTGCGGTGGAGCACAGGGGCCCGTGCGGTGCCGGAGGAGCCTCCAGGCCTCTCCGCTGTGCTGTAGGATGGCCGAGGTTAGGAGTGATGAACTAAACTCTGCCTGGAGTGACGCTGCTCCTGCCCAACCTGCAGCCAGTGTCTGGAAGCTCCCAGCCCAAGGAGAGGAGAGCAGGTCCCTGATGTGCCATGGTGCGGGTGGAAGGAGAGTCGTGTGCGCGCCTGCATGCTCGTGCATGTGAACGAATGTGTGGCAGGAAAGGAATTTCATTTTGTCCAGGAATTTCAGGAAAAGGATTTCACTTTGCGAAATGCCCCTGAGTGCTTCCGCATTGGAAAAGGCAGAAGCTGTTTGGAGTTGGACCTTTTCTGCAAGAAGCTGTGGCATCAGATTGAGCAGTTGCAGGAACTTGTTCCAGACGTGCAAGTAGAAATCTATAACTGGGGAGCCAACAGCAGGCTGGAGACTGCTTCTTAGGGTGAAATACAGATTTGGGTCTCTGTTCAACTTTAACGGTCTCAATTCCAAGTGCTATCATGGGAGAAGGCTTGGAAGAAGGAGCAATGAGAACTGCCAAGGGAAGAGGAGGCTGGTGCAGGGAGCGAAGTGGAGGGGATCAGGGCTGGGGAACAATTGGTGAGCAGGTATCCTGAGTAACTGGAGCCAGGAAGCACATGGTAGGAATTGGGTTAATTCCATTAAGCAGTTTGGTGACAGAAGGTGCTTTAGTGTTAGAACGGGCTGCTCTCCAAGCTAGGGAATTGCTGCGGATTAGCCCTGTGCTCCTTGGGGTAATTAGGACCATGTGTTCCTCTGAGAGCAGGGGTGTAGCCAAGCAGCAAAGGGGAGGATGCAGCTGGGGAGCCAGTTCAAAGGATGTCAGAGAGCCTCAGCCGGGCAGCAGCGGCCCCTCGCAGGGCAGCTCGGTCTTTCTTTGCCCTGGTTGCATGAGTGAGAAGTGGCCTGCCAAGGCAGGAGATTTAACTGGAGCCTCCTGAGCTCTGGTTAAGTGACTGGGGATGGGTGTGAAATGGGGCCCATCCCATGGGAGATGGGCGCTGGGTGAGCATAGCCCAGGCAGCCGCCTTTCTGTCCTGGGAAGCTCCACAGGCTTCTCCCGGGCGGCTGCAGTCGTGCCAAACGATGGGAGAGACTCTTCATGTGCCCTACAAGCCCGGGGACACCTCTGGGAGGAGAAGGGCTCCGCGCTAGCGAGGGCTGAGGTGTCCACGACCACGAGCGTGTGCAGGCAGGATGGCGAGGGGGTGCAGGCTTGGCTGGGAACGTGCCTCGAGGTCCGCACGGAAACACGGCCAGCGTGTTGGGCTGCCGAGCTCCGCGACGGGCGGAAACTCGGCCATGGCCAAGGGGCAGAGGCTTCCTGGCAGCAGAGGGGGAGTTAGTGGCCTCTTGATTCTGTTCTCTGCTCCCTCTTGGTTTATTCGGTAAATTCCTGTTCTTCCCTTTTCCAGATGGTGACCCGAACGAAGAAGATATTTGTGGGTGGTCTGTCAGTGAACACTACTGTGGAGGATGTGAAACAATATTTTGAGCAGTTTGGGAAGGTAAGTCTCTGGAGTGGGGCTGGATCAAAGCGGTTGCTTCTGGGGCAAAAAGGAGTTTCCTGAACTCTTTTGGAGGCGGGATTAGGAGACTGAGTCTTCTGCGTGGGGTTAAGTAAATTGAAGGTCAGCTACAGATGTTGAGTAGCTGTAATTTCTTTGTAGGGGCTGGAGCTTGTGATTCCTGCCCCGTGATGATTTGAAACAGAGAGCTCGAGCTCGTTCTTAGAGCAGATGGGACCTGGGCTAAGACGTGCTTTTCCCTCCTCTGTACACCGAGGCCTCGGAGGGCATTTTGGGCCTGCAGATTTGCAGTCTGTTCAAATGCTGAAGGAAGGCTTGCAGACACTTTTAACAGATCTGCTTCAGCATCAAACCTGGGATTCTGGCCTTGGTTCTCATTCCAAGCCTTGTGATTGATACTTCTGTAATCCTTTATTAAAAATAAGCCCTTTGGTCCTGCAACTTCTCCTGCTGAGTCCTGGGCAAGTGGCGATGTTGTTTTTGGATATTTGAAGGAAATTTGGCAAGTAGGCTGTGTTAGTGTGTGGCTTTCCCTGTGCCAGCTGCTGGTGTGGGGAAGGGAAGACTTCTGAGATTTAGTCATTTGTGCCCTTGTTCCTTGACAGCCAGTTGTGCAAATAGTGTGTGGGACAGAACTGAGGCATACAAAGGGGTTCAGTCTTGTTCCTTCAGCCACATCTGGAGACTGAGCGCTCTAGATGCAACAGCAGTAATGCTGGACCCGAGGTTTGCAACATTTTTAATGGGATTGGGAATGGGATTGGCGTACCTGAATCGTGACTGCACTCACCTCTGGGGCAGAGCACTGTGACTGTTGAATGGTGCTCGGTAGTGGTGTGTGGGGATTAGCCATTTGGGAAGCGTTGGGTTCTCGCTGTCGGGATCTTCCTGCACTGGTGGAGGTGGCAGAGCACAGTTTGCTTGGCAGTGATCTTGCAGGATGCTGCTGATGGCATCCTGGATCTGGGAGAAAGTACCATAGAAATTGTAATGAGTGTGATGCATGAAGGCTTTGGTATTCATTTTTATGAAAGATCATATGAAAGGACTGTCTTATTTTTGAAGTACATTGGCTGGTGTGAAGAAGGGGAGTTTGGTAATCAGTTTTTCTCTGTCATTTGGTACTTTTATGGTACACTTACAGATTTGGTACTTTTGGTGCAGTTTTTGCTGTATCAAAACTTTCAGGCAGAAAGTTTGGGATGAGTGTTGTTCAGCACTTTTGTTCAGCTTCTGGAGTCAAATCTATGCATGGCCCGGGTTGCTATAGTAACTGCAGAGTAGGACTTGGTGTTTCCAGTCAGTCCTTAGAGAAAGAGTAATGTGGAAAGTGGTCAGTGTGTCAAGAAATCCCTGTGTTTAGTTCTGTGTGATTTTATTTTCTGTATTAAAGTAAGCAAACTGTATCGTGTCCCTGGCAGCTCATACGTGGTATTGCTGAGGGGCATCGCTACCAGTGCCGTTGTCCACGTGGCCGCGTAGTCTGGAGACCCAAATACCTTGGGCGTAATTCCCCTTTAACTTATCCGTCCCTCCGATAATTTGAACCAGAAGCATGTCACGTAGCATTTGCAGTTTACAAGCATTTATAGTCAGTTGCCCTAGTTTGAGAAGTCTTTTTCTACTTTTGGGGTGTTATGCTGTTGTATTCCTCTTATTTAATGGCTGCGTGTTGAAAGGAGCCGTGACGTCAGGAGAGCAGCAAGAACTGGTTGTGTCAGATTGTTTGCTCGGATGAGGCAGAAGGGAGAGTTCTGCTTAGCTCAGTGCAATTCACGCTCAAAGAACCGGCATCCCAGACAACGTCCAGTGCTCAAAACGTGAATGAGGCTAATGCAGCTGCCTTCTTGGCTCTGAGGAGTTTCCACGGGGAGAGGTCAGGGCTGCTCAGCTTGACTCCCTGTCTTGGGGCAGCTTTCTGAGTCATCTGGCCAGTTTGGCTGACGAGAAACTCCCCAGACTTCTAGTAAAAGACCTGTCTCCCAGGCCGAGCCTCGGTTAGTTCCGTGAAGGCCAGAACTGCTTCCTGAGAAACTCTTGGGTCCCCAGCTTCAGGGCAGCTCTGGGGTTCTCGGCTCTGAGTGTCTTACTCTGTGGTTTCTAGGACTGAGAAATGATGGTTACAATTTCAGATGTGACTCATTCTTATGGAGGACATGAGTTCAATACACAGCCTTTTCTGGAGTTTGTTATGGTGCTCAGGGGCCTCTTGTTTTTCAGAGGTTCCCTAGGATCCCGTCTTCAGAGGTACTTCTGGTGTCTGACTCCTGAACTTCTAGTACTATTAAATGAGAGGTGATTGAACTTCAGTCATGCCATCCTCATTTTAGAAAACTTATTTTTTCAGAGAGGTTTTCCAAGTTATTGGTGGAATTGGATGGAGACTGTTTCATAAGAAATTGTTGAGGATTCCCTTCTAAAGCCTTATCCTCTAAGGGAATGACTTTTGTCTGTGCTCCCTCTTTTGAATGTTCCCATGGCTGTCTAGGAACTAGCAGGTCTAGGAACCAGCAGGGAGAACATTTACACCTTTTACCTGCCGTTGTCCAAGAAGCCCTGCAAATACTTTAATTTTAGTGTGAGGAGGAAGAGAGGGGTGCACAAGTCAGTGTCTTGGTTCCTTAAAATCCAGGTGCCAGGTTCCTGGAGATGAATATTAGTTGATCTTTGAGAATCCAATGTCAATCTCGGTTTGAATCTCAGCTGTCAGTGAGAGATCCTCCTTTGCATCCAAGGACGCAGGAGTACAAACAACCAAACGGGTCTCAGGTGAAGATTATCTTCTAGGCACCCCTGGGACTGCAAGCCTGAGCACGTGGTAGGTTTGCCACAAATTGGAGTGATGCATTTGGAGGTATTCGTTCTAGTCTTGCCAGAAAGCATGGACGTGCTGTAAGAATTACTAGAGAAAATCCTACGGCTTCTAATACAGTGGAGGTCAAATTAGATTATCCTCATGTTCTCTCTGGTCCAAATCTGAGAACTGCTAATTTGCAAGTCTACTCAGATAGCTAGTCTGTTGCTAGTCTGTGATCAGCAGCAGTGTTCATTAGCAGAAAAGGAGGAAGTTTGGTTTGTTTGGTAGAGCGTGAAAAGAAATGCTTTCCCATTTCAAAAAAAACAACAACAAAAAACAAAAACAAAACCCCAAATTCCCAAATCTGACATTTCCATTTTGGCACTTTCCCTATTTTCCTATCTTTGTGATTCTTTTTGTTTTGTTTTCTTCTCTTGCTGAGTCCAAAACTTTCTCTGAGCTTTTTAAAATGGAAGTGGCAAAAAAAAAAAAAAAGTGTGTGAAGGAAATCATGAGCATTATTTAGGGGTAAGGAAGAAAGGGAGAAGCTATCATCCCCTCTCCTTCATGTCAAATACTTGGTTTTGACAGGAAAAGGTGAAGCTTCAAAGAGGATCCCAAATACAGTGTGAGAGTTTCTCTTCTTCAAAGGACTACTTTCTCATTCTTTTTTCAAAACTGTTAATGAAAAAGTTGGGCTGCCATTTTCTTAAGGACAGAAAATAAAGTTATTTTTGAGTACAGTGACTGAGACTGAGGAGTGTTCTCGAGCTGACTTCAGTATCATGTAGCTAACTAGGCTTTGAATATAGTGGAATAGTGTAGAGCTTCTAGATCCAAAACTCAAATCTTTCCTAGTTGCAGGCTAAGACCATGGGCATGGTTTTTAAAGGCAATGACCTATTCAGCTGCAGGACAGAAATCCTAGGGAGAATTGCACTGACAGGATGTGTAGCCAAATGTCTTGGCTCAGGGTGGCCTGTTAGAAATCTTTAGGCTTCACATGGGACTATTTCAACAGCTTCCTAGAATGAGGTTACCAGCCTCAGTGAAACCTGAGCCAGAACGAGAGGAGAAAGGTCGTTTCCCCCTGCACCTCAGGCTTAGCTAGTCCTCTCGGTAGTGCAACATGCATGAAGATGACCTAGAAGATCTTGAGTCGCAGTTTCTTTTCTTCTTCAACTCATAGGAACAGGTTGTTCTATGTTATTTTAGGAGGACTGACTATCAGAATAATTTCTTCGAACAATTAAGTCTTGGAGCTTGTGAGCAAGTATATTTGCTTCACATTGTATGTGGGAAAAGAAAAAAACCTGAAAGTATCTTTTTCAGGGGCTGGTCTGATGAAGTTGTGGGGTAGAGAGAGCCAAACAGAGTACATGATAGGAGGTTCAGAAGGTCTCTCTTTGCCACAGAGCTCACAGAAGCTGTGAAATCTTTGACCCAGGATTTTGTTAGTCAAATTTACTTAGGCTCCAAAGTGATTGGACAGATTCACGGATGTTTTTTTAAATATACAGATAACCCTTCGAGTTCAGGAAATACCTGAATCACAAATGGCTGGAAGGGGAGGAAGTCTTCCGGGGTATATGACAATATCCTGGTCCTGTCCTTATGTCTTCCCAAGGTGACTGCTGTTGGTTGGTATCTTGGGGGGACCTTGGGCAAGGTGGACCTCTGCTTTAACGTGGTGGAGTCTTAAGTTCTTGGGAAGTGTCTTTATAAAGAGAACTAGAAACGAGAAATGAAGAGGTATTTGTCTTTATTTCCAGAGGGTCTGGAGCAAAGTCTGGTGTTCGAACTCATGCTTTTCTTTCCTGTGCATTTTTTACATTTGATGAAGCAGAAGAAATATATTCACAATGACATCTTTGCATGACTCACTAATCAGTTGTGGCTCCTAGAATGCTTGACAAGTGCTTGAAAACAATTTATATCTCTCCCTGGGCCTGCAGGTGATCTGTGTATCTGGATGAGTTGGTCACGAAAGCGCAGCCTCTCAGTCAGAGAGATCATGCCCAGAAAGAGCCCCGCTCCCTCTAAAAATACCCTGGGAGCAAATGAGAGTGAGAAAAAACTGCTGAGGTCCGAGTGCAGCTCTGACCTTTAGGTTGCCATCTAATACTTAATCCAAATTCCAGGCTGTTTGCCTAAGACAGGTTTGGAGATCTCATCGGGCAATGAAACCAGTGCCGCCCAAACCAAGAAAAAGCACGGTACCCTGAGCTGGATTTAATGACAGTTTGTGTGTCTGTCACAAATACATATTCATGTACCCCTGTCAGAGAAATGGTGTGGTTGACTTGGGTATGTGAAACGAGCTTTTTACATTCACTAATTGGAGGACCTTTAGATACTAAAGATTGACTACCTGTCTTGGAGTATTCCTTTAAAGGCATACTTGTTCCTCTGCTCGTGTTGGGCCTGATTTCTCTCGATTTGGATTGGGAGAACGCTAATTAATTAATCTTTAATCTGCAGCTCTCTGGAAATTCCTAGGATCAAAGCTACTTGTCGACCTGCTGTGGATTTCCAAACTGGATTTTGGATTTTCTTCCCCCAGATCAGAGGGCAACTTATGCAAATTCTCACGCGTAACCCAGTTGCAGTGAACAGATGGGGAGGGGAGGCGAGGGGGAATCTGATCACCTCTCTTGTGTCACTCGGCAGTTTGGCTCGTGGTGACAATGCCCCTGGAACAAAGGGTGCTCTGTGCTCTGCATCTGGTAGGCAGATAGCCAAAAATGCTGCAGCGTTAATGGTCATCCAGGCCCCCACTGCTTCATTCGATATTTGCCAGGTGCCCGCGGAGCAGCGCGGGAGCAGGCGAGAACACCTGAACGGGCCGGTCCTCTCACCTGTGGCTGGGAACGGGCTCTTTGCCCCCATTCAGTCCCATTTGCGGAGCTTTGAGAACGCCCCTGCAGAAGGGAGGGACCAGGGTGCCATGTGGGCTCTGCTGTGATGGGGTTTTCCCCTCTCCAAAGCAGCGAGTCGTGTTGGAGCAGCCAGGAGAATCTCTCAGGGTTGCTAATCCCCTCTCTCGGCAGGATGGCTGAGTGGTTTCTGGATCATTTGGTTTTTATTTCTCATGCTGAAGCTGCCTGTGCAGCTACTAGTCCTCTGCCTAGTTTTTTTTTTTGCGCACATATGTGCAGCCGCAGCTCCTTCTAGGACCAGTTGAGTCACGATTAGTTGCAGTTCAGGTGGAAGACACCCATCTCTGTTCAAAGCCCTTGTCTGAGTATTTATAACTTTCCTCAAGATCTGCTCACGTGGAAGTGCATCCAACATTTCTCCTCAAACTTCTGCTGGATTTTTTTTTTTCTTTTTTAATCTGAATGGTTGTTGGGAAACTCCTCTTTTGCGGTGACCTATGACTCCAAGGCCGGAGCAGTCGTGGAAGACGGGCTGGACCGAGAGGCGGTGGCGTGTGGGGAGGCACGGGGATGGTGCGTCAGCCCCCTCGTTGCCAAGTACCTGTCAGAGGAGTTGCTCCCTGCCGGGGGTGTTTTGGGAGCGCAACCTTTCCCTCGGCTCCCGTGGTGTTCCCAATCCCAGATCCTTGTGGCCAAACGCAGGGGGAAATGACGAAACCTTGAACTTCTCCCTGCCAACGCACAACCAGCGCAGCCAGCACCAGAAACCTAAATAGTTCCTGGGGAGGGAGCTGTGACCGTTCAGCTAAACCATTTTCTAGCAAAGCGATCCGCTGCTTTGACTGTGTTTAAAGAATCGAAACAAATATTTATTTAAGGAGGGGGAGCGCTGGAGAAGACAATTCACCCTGCAAAAGCCTTTGTTAACTAGGTTCACCGTCCGTCGCGGGCCCTTGTAGAAATGAAGCCCATGGCAGGCCCTGAGTGTCCTTCCTCAGCCCCGGGTGGCTTCAGCCTCCCCACAGGGGCCGAAGCCTCCCCGGGGCGGCGCGGCGGCCGCGGGGGCAGTTGCCTCGCGGGGCGGTTGCGCGCGCGGCCCCTGCGCCGC